ACCTAACCTAACCTAACCTAACCTAACCTAACCTAACCTAACCTAACCTAACCTAACCTAACCTATGGAAAATGACATGCTAGTGGTGACTGATGTTAATGTTCAATCAACTAGCGATACTTAAAAATGCGGGATTAGTTGAAAAAGCGATATTTAGTGTTGTTCACAATTTACGATGAAATATATATATATATATATTGTTAAAACTTGCAAATCAAAGTTTCGTCAATAGTTCTCATAGTATGAGGATTAGAAAGAACGTGTCCAATGTGTTGGAATCGTTTCTTGATTAGCGTCGTAAAATGTCTTCATGATTTGTGTTTCCTCGAATGTTCTCGGTTACGCCGAACCACCGGAGTATCTTGAAGTGCGTGGTCAATTACGCTTTGAAAATCTGGTAAAGGGCTTATAAAGCTTATGCATTCCGGAGAATTAGGCGTAATTTGAACCGAGTGTTGATCTTAGTTATCTTCCCCCTTAATGTGATTCTTGCTATCATATGTCTTCTGCATATAAAGATTCTGTGGGAGATGCTATCATCTGCGCCACATTTCCTGCATTCAGATGAATCGATCAGTTTGAATTGGTAACGATATGGCTTGAGTGGTAGGAACTGACCTATAGGTCAATACTTCAACTATCTATGGCATTACCTAGCAACGTGAAGGAAGTTTTAGAAATCTTATGTTTCAAATCGGTATTCGCGAACTAAAACAATTTCGTTGGGTACCCGTATTCTCTATACATAAAATACTTGACCTGATTACAAGTAAGATTGTAGCTCTCTGAAATACTACGATTATTACGTTTGTATTACTGAGACAGCCCAGTGAGAGTCATGATTATCATGGTCCTGTTGACACGTAAAATGTCTTGCTTCTGTATCATCGTAGTCGCACTTTGGCTTCCAGATGATCACATGTCAAAATAATAGGAGTTTTTTTTTTGCCTCCCTTGAATCCATGTCCCAGGCTACTGTCTCCTGGGTCTTCTAAAGCAGAGTAACTACCGTGATACTCTGCGCAATCTTGGACGTACTAGGGCTTACCATTACGGTACGCAAGACAGAGAGGAATAGTATATAGTGTACCAGCTTCATGATGTTCGGATGAACTGGTCTTGTAAAATAAGATAGAAAATGGTACCATACAAAACTTAAAGACATCAGTTCCTTATCTTTACATTTACTTTTGTCAATAAATTATGTATTCTATCAAGTAATAAGAGTACAAAAAAACGTAAAGATTTCTCAATATGCCACTTTCTCACTGTAATGCCTAACGTGGTACAGGAGTAATTTGCCTTTCTGATTAGCAATCACAATCCATCGGCCATCAGTAGAGAAATCTATCGCTTGTACTTTCCCTAATGGAGTGTTGGATGTTGGCCAATTTTGATAAACAGTCAAAGAAGGTAAGTGAATCAGGCGCAATTGGTCATTCTTTTCGGCAGATGTGGACGCAAGCAGTTGGGTGTCTTTGTTGAAAGCCAGGTGGTTAATAGAAGTGGTAAGGTTACCCAATGATTTCAGTAGTTTTAATGATTCGACCTCGTAAATGTTGACAATACCGCTGCTATAGCCGACACTAATGAAAGTGTTATCTCTGGAAACAGCTATTGTCGAAGGTGAAAAATTCTCACTGTCTTTCCAAGTTCGTATACAGCGTCTCCTTGCTGCATCCCAGATGCTCATCTCGGAGTTATCCGTAATGATGTAAATTGTGTTACTATTCCTTCCCCAAGCAAAGTCGACTGCCGGTCTGTTCATCTTCACATTTCCGATTGGTACACAAGACGAGTTTGTCCATCTCAATAATTCTACATATCCTCTTCTTGCTTTCAAAGCGATCATAGTGCCATCAATGTTGAACTTTGCATGTGTACCAAAGACACCCTCTGTGTGTTTAAAGCGCTGTACACTGCCATCTTCGAGGTGGTATATGTAAGAATATGGGCGTGGGCCACCAATGAAAATTGAAGGTTTTGTTGGGTTGAAAATCGCAGTTGTGATTGGCATATCTTTGAGGTGTAACTGTTGTACTAGTGTACTCTTAGAGCCCTCAACGTTGTAAATCTTTAATCTCCTGTCAGATTGCGCGACAAGAAGTAAATTGTTAATAATAGGATGGAATTCTACATTGACGATATTAATTTGATCAGATTGTACGACATCTTTGAGTCTTTCTACCTTTATTTCACCTGCTTTCAGGCGTGTCTTCCTATTTGTGAGTGTATTGAGACCTGTTGAGTTGAGAATGTCATCCTCGTCCTCACTTTCGTCTTCGCGTTGTTTGCGCTTATTCTTGGCCTGGGTAGCCCAACTAGGGGTTGGATTTATAGCTTTGAACCTTGTCTTTGTTAGCTTACACTAGTCAGGAAATAAGGAAGCACCAACTTTTCTCTCAATCTAGACTCAAGCTCATCACCGCCAATAATGTCTTCGCCTTCTTCTTTTCTCAGTTTGCGTAACTTTGCGTTGCTTGCTAACGAAATTTCAAAATTCTTATCGTCTTCGTCTTCCCATAGGGCTTCTGCTTGAGAGGGCTTAGACTCATCAATAAAGAATGGCTAGTAATTTATTAGATAGATCATTCTATAAAGAAACTATCCTACCTCGTCCTCGCTCATGTCATCCTCTGGCTTACCGAACTGATGGCTATCGTTAAAAAGCTCAGCTTCAAGTTCTAGTTCCTGTTCATCCTTTCTAATTTCCTCACTATCGTCCCCTAAAACTCGCTGCTTTTTAAAATTTCTCTGAATTTCTGTCATCTCTTTCTCCTTTGAACTTCTCAAGAAGGCGTATCGACGACAATTATATTGAGAAGATTTTATCAGCCAGTTTTAAATATACGCAGGATGTCAACTCAACTCCCATACATTCAAAATACTGAACCTGAACGTAGTATCCTCGATAGCTACAGAACTGCATGTGCACTCGAACTCAATAAGACGCTCGATTTACCTTTAGAGAAGGCTTTTGAAGGTGTACACGTTGGTTCAAAAAATGGTGATTTCCACATCGCACTCCCACGTTTCAGACTTCCTGGTGATGTAAAAGAACATGCACAGAAGGTCCATGACCAATTCAAGCCAAATGAGTACATCGATACTTGCATCGTTAAACAAGGTTTTGTCACTTTCCAAGCTACCACAAAGAACTTTATTAGAGACGTTTTGGACCAGATCCACACTATGTCCAACAAATCACCTACAGGTAAACCTGAATTCGGTACATCCACTGTAGCTGGTCAAGGAAAACACGTCATTATCGAATTCAGCTCACCAAACATCGCAAAGCCTTTCCACGCAGGTCACTTACGTTCTACTATCATTGGTGCCTTCTTGGCCAACTTATACGAGGCATGTGGATGGAAAGTTACTCGTATGAACTACCTCGGTGACTGGGGAAAGCAGTTTGGTTAGTATCGTTTCAATTTAATTATAAACTTTTCGTTCTAACTCATATCCTAGGTTTGTTAGGTGTCGGTTTCGAACGCTACGGTAGCCAAGAAAAGCTTAAGGCTGACCCTATCGCACACTTGTTTGAAGTCTACGTCCGTATCAACACCGAAGCAAAGGAAGAAGACGAAAAGCTCGGCAAGAAAGCCCAAGATGACGAGGAAGGTGCTGAAGAAGAAGCCGCTCCAACTGAAGCAGGCAATACCATCAATGATCAAGCTAGACGTTTCTTTAAGCGTATGGAAGATGGTGAAGAAGGTCCACTTTCCCTCTGGAAGCAATTCAGAGACCTCTCAATTGAAAAGTACAAGGACACCTACGCACGTCTTAACATCCACTTTGATGTCTACTCTGGTGAATCACAAATTTCCCAAGAAAATCAAAACAAAGCTATTGACGTTCTCACTGAAAAAGGACTTATCAAGCAATCGGGTCAATCACAAATTATCGACTTGGAAGAGTACAAATTGGGTAAAGCCGTCGTCAAGAAGATGGATGGTACTACTCTCTACTTGACACGTGATTTTGCTGCTGCTGCCGAGCGTTACGACACATACCATTTCGACAAGATGATCTATGTCATTGCATCTCAACAAGATCTTCACACAGCACAACTTTTCAAAGCTATGGACTTGATTGGTTATGATTGGGCTAAGAACCTTCTTCACATCAACTTTGGTATGGTTTTGGGTATGTCTACACGTAAAGGTACTGCTGTTTTCCTTGACCAAATCCTCAACGAGGCCAAGTCTGTCATGATGGACGTTATGAAGAAGGACTCAACTAATAAGTATGACCAACTCGAAGATCCAGAATGGACTGCCGACACTCTTGGTTTGAGTGCTGTTAAGATCCAAGATATGGGTGGTCGTAGAATCATGAACTACAAATTTGCTTGGGATCGTATGACTTCATTCGAGGGGTATGTAGTATCCTTGTCTGACGACATCTTCTAATCACCAACACAGTGACACAGGTCCATACCTTCAATACGCTCACGTTAGAATATCGTCAATCCAACGTAAGGTTGCAGATGAGACCGTTCTCCCAGAGGATCCTACTAAGGATGTCGACACAAGCCTCCTCACGGAACCAAAGGCCAGAGAATTGGTTTACTTGTTGTCACAATATCCAGATGTTGTTAAGACCGCTCTCAAGACACATGAGCCGAACAACATTGTCTCATACGCCTTCCAATTGACACACGTCGTATCTAGTCTGCTTGAAATCTTGAAGGTCAAGGGACAAGAGCAAAAGTTAGCACAAGCACGTCTCTACTTGTTCATGTGTGCTAAGGATGGTGGGTGAATTTCCATATAAAAGCTTTCCAGCTAACCTGTTACAGTCCTCGGTAGCGCAATGCGCTTGCTTACACTCACACCATTGGAGAAGATGTAAACTTTATTTATTGGCGAATTCCTTTGTTTCCAGAATATATTTCCTATGCATGTTTTGATAATGACGTGTGCGTGTATGAGATCGTGAATGGTGGTTATAATAAAGAATATACGAATATAATGAAATCTCTATAGATTTATTCCTTAATTACTTATTTTATTAGCAAATTCCTCTGGGAAAAACGCGAGAATAACTCTTGCGTTCCAACTTCGATATGGCTAGAGATAGGAAGCGTACAAACTCTGGCACGAGCGATCAAAAGCCAGTGAAGCCGGTTGGTAGTGCATCTTCAACACTTTACAATAGTCAACCAGAAGGTCTGAAAAGCTATCAATATCCAGCTGTTGTACCCCCAACTGCAGAGGAAGCAGCGAGATTAGCCCACCAGACACCACCACACACTCAACCAACCACTGTAGCAGACGCTGAGGATATGTTCGCTTATTCCACCACGTTTAGAAAGACATCCATAGAGTCACTCGCTCATAAGCCATCGATTACTCATCTGAAGCCATCAGAACTCCCGAGCGCTTTTGACAGTGCAGCCGCAGAAAAGGAAGAAGCCGAAGAGAGAAGGAGAATGCTTGTCCATTCGCTCGAATCAGATCCAGCTCATTCGTCAACCCCGTCAGCACAATATGCTAAACTTTCTGTTGAGGTAATTTATATTTTTTACGTCTTTTCACTTTACTGACTATCACCAGCAAACTATCGCTAAACTTAACACTCACCCAAAGAACGGTCTAAGTACTGCAGACGTGCAAGAGTTACGCCATAGGTACGGTTTCAACGAGTTCTCTGTCGAGGCAGGCGATAGTTTATTCAAGAAATTCTTCCAACAAATTTACGAGAGTCCTCTCATTCTTCTCTTACTTGGTTCAGCTGTCGTTTCAGCTTTAGTAGGCAATGTTGATGATGCAATTAGTATCTCATTAGCAGTTATTATCGTCTTAACTGTTCAATTCGTACAAGAGACACGCTCAGAAAAGTCCTTACAAGCACTCAACAAGCTTGTACCACACTACTGTCATTTGATTAGAGGTGGCCAACTCTCATCACCACTCGCAAACGATCTCATTCCAGGTGATCTTATTACCTTCTCCACTGGTGACCGCGTTCCTGCTGATATTCGCATTATTGAGGCTGTCGATCTTGAATTAGACGAAAGTAACCTCACTGGTGAAACAAAGCCAACTAAAAAAACTACTGTACCATCAACTCACATGAACGTTGGTGTTAGTGACCGTAACTGTATTGCACACATGGGTACCCTTGTCAGAAGTGGTCATGGTAAAGGTTTAGTTGTTGGTACAGGTTCAGAAACTGAATTTGGTGTTGTCTTCACAATGATGCAAGACATCGAAGAACGTCGAACTCCTCTTCAATATTCCATGGATGAACTTGCCAAGCAACTCTCACTTATTTCTTTTGCTGTTATTGGTGTCATCTTCGTCATCGGTATCATTCAATCACGCAGCTGGCTCGAGATGTTCACGATTGGTGTATCTCTCGCCGTTGCAGCCATCCCAGAAGGTTTGCCAGTTGTCACGACTGTCACACTCGCACTTGGTGTTCTCCGCATGAGCAGACGTAAGGCCATCGTAAAGAAACTTCCATCGGTTGAATCTCTCGGATCAGTTAGCGTCATTTGTTCAGATAAAACTGGTACACTCACGAAGAACGTCATGACAGTTACAAAAGGGTTTACTGTTCCAGATGGTCCACTCGTTTTGGAAAACAAACTCGACAAGATCAGCCCAGCACTAGAACGCACTTTCCTTATTGGTAATCTCTGTAATAACGCACGCAAGGATGAACACGGCCACAACGTTGGTCAACCAACCGACGTAGCCCTCATCAATATCGTTGAAGAGCAAGGAATGGTTGACAGACGTACTACATTCGTACGTCGTCATGAGCAGGCTTTCTCATCTGATACTAAGGTTCAATTCGTGACTGGAACACTCGCAAGTGACACTGATGGTGTACCAGCAGAATGCAACTATCTCAAAGGTGCTTTAGAGAGAGTCTTAGAACGTTGTGACACCTACCTCGCTGCATCTGGTCACCACACGGTACCACTCGATGATGCAACTCGCAACCTTATTTTCGCAAGAGCTGCTGAATGTGCTGACAAAGGTCTTCGAAACATAGGTATGGCATATCGTATAAGCAGTAATGTCACCGACTTCACCGGTGGATTCGTCTTTACAGGTTTCCAAAGTATGCAAGATCCACCAAGACCTGGTGTAGCTGCATCAATTGCTTCTCTTCAAAGAGCCGGTATTCACGTCGTTATGATCACAGGTGATGCAGAGCGTACAGCCTTGGCCATCGCAAGGGAATTAGGATTATGTGTCAGACCATCATCTCCAATCACCAACTCACGTAGAGACACCAGCGAATGCCTCACCGGTGCAGAACTTGATACGATGTCCGAGAGAGAATTAATGGAACGTATCAACAGCGTTAGCGTCTTCGCAAGAACCTCACCAAAGCACAAGATGAGAATTATTGGTGTCCTTCAAAAGCTTGACAAGGTTGTTGCTATGACTGGTGACGGTGTCAATGATGCACCTGCTCTCAAAATGGCTGATATTGGCGTTAGTATGGGTAAAGGAGGTACAGATGTTGCCAAAGAAGCTGCTGACTGTATCCTCGTCGACGACAACTTCGCAACACTTCTTCCAGCTGTAGAGGAAGGTTAGTTGCCTTCTAATTACTTATTCATTACTCACGCACCATCCAGGAAAGAGTATATTCTATAATATTCAGAACTTCTTAAGCTTCCAACTTTCCACCGCTGTAGCTGCACTCAGCTTGATCACTATCTCAACTGCTCTTCGCATGCGCAACCCACTCAACGCTATGCAAATTCTCTTCATTAACGTTATTATGGATGGACCTCCTTCACAATCCCTCGGTGTTGACCCAGTCAACAAATCAGTTATGAAGCGCCCACCACGTCCAAAGAACGCTTCAGTTATTACTCAAAGACTACTCACTAGAGTACTCTTTTCAGCATCAATTATTATCACAGGTGTACTTTTCATTTACGCTTATGAAATAGGTGACGGATTTTCAACACGCGATCAAACTATGACATTTACAGCCTTCGTTGTTTTGGACCTTGCTAGTGCACTCCAAAACAGAGGTGTAACATGTGGATTCGGTGATAACAAGATGCTTCTCACTACAGTTGGAGTTTCCTTATTCGCACAAATGTGCTTTGTCTATATTCCTGCTTTACAAGCTGTTTTCCAAACTGAAGCACTCGCATTGAGAGATTTAGGTGTACTTGGTATGCTCGTACTTTTCTCCATCGGATTGCACGAAATTAGAAGACGCTGGGAAAGGGAACAGGAAAGGAAGGATGCTCTCTTTTCATTCTCCAATGACGATGTGTAAATATGTTATCTTGTATAATCAACTCATCAAAAAATACGATCACGTAGAACTCTTTTCTCTTAAAATATTTGTTGACTCATAAAAAATCTATGCATGCGACACTTTATTAGTTTTTTATTATTAATTATGTTATATGCTTGTCTTCCTAATTTACACTCAACGACGATGCCTATTCTCAAATTGGGCACAAGAAAAAGCAAGTTGGCGATGGTACAAGCCAATCTTGTTAAGCATTCCCTTGAAAGCCTTCACTCAGATCTGCAAGTCGAAATCGTCGGGATGTCAACTGCTGGTGATAGAGATAACAGCACCTCGCTTTATACACTCGGTGGTGCCGATAAAGGCTTATGGACGAAAGAATTAGAGAATGCACTTTTAGATAACTCTGTTGATATGATTGTGCACTCACTTAAGGACGTTCAGTCGCAGCTTCCTGATGGTTGCACTCTGGGTGCTTTCCCAGCGAGAGAAGACCCTTCTGACGCTTTAGTTGTAAAGAAAGGTCTTTCTTATCAAAGATTAGAGGATCTTCCAGATGGTAGTGTCATTGGTACTAGCAGTATTAGAAGAGTCGCTCAACTTCGCAAGAGCTTTCCAAGATTACATTTTAAGGATGTGAGAGGTAATCTGTGAGTATTCCCTTGCTTATCAATTATATTTATCTAACATCCTACAGTGACACTAGACTTGCAAAACTCGATGATCCAAATGGTGAATACACAGCAATTATATTAGCATCAGCAGGTCTCAAGCGTTTCTCTAATGAATATGAAAAGCGCATTACATGTAGACTCACATCACCAACACTCTTACATGCGGTTGGTCAAGGTAGTCTCGGATTGGAAACGCGGATAAACGACGAGAATATATCCAAATATGCCGATAGAATAAATTGCAAGAAAACCCAAATTGCAGTAACTATTGAGAGAGCACTTCTCCGTACACTTGAAGGAGGTTGCTCAGCACCAGTCGGCGTTGAAACCACTGTTTATCAGATTGAAGACTCTTTTGAAGTAAACTTTAGAGCTAACCTTACTACACTTGATGGTGTAACTCAAATTGAGCGATATGAAACTAAGAAAATTGCTAATTTGGACGAAGCCGACAAATTTGGAGTTGAAGTAGCATACCTCATTAAGAATGGCGGGGGAGATCCTATCTTAGCTGCCATACATGATAATAAATCCAACCAAATTATAGAGAAAACTAACATTGTACAAAATTAGCTTATTACCTTCTTTAATAATGTATTTTGGTCTTACCACGGAATGTTTTATTTGTTGTGCTTATATTAGCTTGGATGTTCTTGAATCATGGGAATCAATTCAAGGATGAGAGGATGAGAGAGCTCGAATGACAACTACTCTTATTGTTTAGTCTTCGTCGATTACCCATTATGATAACATATGTAGGTATAATAATACAAGATAAAACTTTAGCTATGAATCTGACTGCTGCTAATTAAACGGTACTGTGGTTTATTATGCCTGTTTTTCGGACTGCCCTGGGTAATGCTTTCCGAAACGAAGCATCGCACAAGTACATTTTATTACAGAAGGACATGTGTTGAATTATTATCTTCACTACATCACTTAAAGCTCACTGTATTAAGTGGAATACGTTGTGATAGAAATATTACGCATGCATAGGCCATCTACGACAGGATTTCATTGTTTACTCTCTATATTCCCCGTATTCTGTATTGTTTGGTGATTTATTTGAGAAGCCCATAAAAGTCAGTAGAGAAGTTTTCAAGTTATAAATGATTGGATTTTGAAATATGAAATGTTTACATATGTTAACTATTAACAATAATAGTTCTGTGTAATGTTTATCTCCTTACGTTGTTTTCGCTATATATCTATGTTTATTTAGTCATGGGACAAAAACAAAACTGTACATATATTTATATACAGAAAAAGAAAAGAAAAACCTGTAAACCTGTAAAGAAATTAGAGGTAGTTTAGTTTCAACTCATTATGGCCATAAGTGTGTCTTGTTCTTGGGGAATCGCAGAATCGCATTTGTTAAGTCATATTAGGAGACATTTCTCGCCCAGTATATAGAATTGTTATTGACTTTCATAGTGCGCCTCTAAATTAGTGCTAAGTTCGTATCTAATAAATTCTGCTCCTGTGTCTGGCATATTCTCGTACAAATTGTAAGCCCCTGTCTTCCTATGTCTTTATAAGGTGCAAACTAGCATATCTCGGTGTGTTGTGGATACAAATGTGTACAATTTGGTTATCACACGTATCATCAATAGATAACCTATTATAGTCGTGAGCTTTCCTATGAGGCTCAAAGCCTATAATATGGCTGTTGTATGTATTAAAATGCATAAGGGATAATCATCAAGCTTTCTTGTCCTTAGTAATTTAGCTGTTACAGCTAGATTATCGCCTCAGAACTGGTATAAAAGATCCCAAACATCCTATTAAGCAGGATCTTCTTTTGAGTCTTCCGTAATAGTAGCTGCAACTTGAAATAATCTAGTGCCATCTATGATAAATGTCATGATTACCTGATAAACGATATTTTTTACCATCTGTTTATAACCTTCCCTATTATCTCTCTTGGACGCACCTTATTATTTGCAAATTATACTGCACGAAGTCACTGAAAAGCCGACTATTGTAATAGTATTGACAATACAGGTTTTGTCTAGTCCATTAACTGAACAACCATGCGTTAAACCTTCAAAACCATTGAAGAAAATGCACCACCAAAAGTCATCATAGAAGTTGACATATAAGTAGCAGCCGCTACCGCAAATAATGCGGCGGCAATAGCTACCATTGTATCGGAAAACATTTTGATTTCCTGATAATAAGTACTATGGATTTTATTGAGGGTCCCACTAGTGAGAACCAAATAAAAAAAAAGCTTGTCATTTTTAGGAAATGATGTTTCCTTAAACAAAGAAGATACAGCTCCTTTTTGAGCAAGGAAATACATACTTTACACTTTATAGTATTTGAAAGCCATCGAATCGGTTTTCAGTAAATTAAGTGGTGCATATGATAATATAAAATTAAGAATCTTTTTTTATAATTACGGCAATTTTTTATGGCTTGTTTACATTCAATTCCACCCGTATTACGAATTGATGATGATGATGATGAAATCTAAATATATTGTTAAGACGATACAAAGTTAAACTGCGTCCATCAATACTTCTTAAAGCATGAGGATTTGAATGGTATGTTGAATTGGTGGGAAGCGTTTCTTGACTAGTGTCGTAAAATGTCTTGGTGATTTGCGTGTCCGGGAATTTTCTCGGTTACGCCGAACCACCGGAGTATCTTTGGTGTGTAGTCAATTGCGGTTTGAAAAACTTGTAAAGGGCTTGAAGAGCTTGTGCGTTCCTGAGCATTGGACCTAATTCGAACCGAACGTTGATCTTGGTTATCTTTCTTCGTAAGGTCATTCTTGTCATCATGTGTCTTCTACATATAAATACTCTGTCCGAGATGTTATCATCTACGCCGCACGTCCTGCATTTAGGTGAATCGATCAGTTTGAATCGGTAGCGATATGACTTTGTCGTAGGGAAGTGACCTGTACGTAGCTGGGTTGCTAGGCACCGTGTCGCTCTGGGTAGTTCGTTGAGGATCTTAGCAGTTTTTGCAGCTGTCAGCTTTCCGGCTGATGTTTTTGAGGTATTGGACTTGATGACTGACAATCTCGAAGCTTCAATTTTCAATGGAGCTGTGTAGCGTTCTCGCATTCTGCGTCGCATTGCTGAGTATGAAGTCCTAAGTGTGAAGTCAATGTTGGTGTAATGATTACATTTTGCCCTTCCCTCGTTGGCTGTTCTGTCAGCTAGTTCGATACCATAGATGCCCGTATGTCCTGGGATCCAGTTCAGTTGGACTATGGTTCCTTCTCTTCCTTTCATTCTTTTGATCCTTTCGATTTTGTCAAGCACAGAATAAATATACAAGGTAGAAAATAGGGCGCCATTTAGTTGCTAGGTACCAAGGTAATAATAGGAACGCCGAATGCGGAATCGTTAAGAGGGCAATAAGGAACATGCGGACAATAAGGATATATAAAGGGATGCATCTTGTACACAAACCATTATCTTACATTATCATTACATAACGTATTTATACTTCGTGACCAATAATAAAAGGTATTTAACATTCAGGTTCCAACAATATCAATAGCATAAATCGGACTAAACCCAACACTGCAAAAATAGGATTTCAAATTAACTACATACTCTTCTATTTCATTTCTCAACTGTATATCATATCAGCATTATGGCTATTATCTCATCAAATGATAGATTTTCCGAATCACTTTTCGCAGTCCTGGCTCTGGCTTTTATTTGTACAGCTGTGTCTTTTGTTTCTGTGGTTCGGTCTCAGCCCACTCCTAGCAGTTTAATGTTAAGAGAGCAAATATTAGGAGAAACGTCTATTGCTAAAAGAAATCAAATTAGTGGTACGCACGCTGCGATGTGGTTCAGCGCCATGGTGGGGTCGTTACGATTAGCTGAGAGCGTATGCGCAACAGGTCAAATTTATGCTTGTGTAGGTGTCGCTTCTGTTTCTGCTCTTGTTGTCGTTGCGGGAGCCTTCAGAGCTCTTCTAACAAAGAAGAGGGGTGTACATAGTTTCACAGATGCCTTAGGCACTCGTTACAATATAGACCTCTCTATACTCAATGGACATGTAAATACCATAAGAGATGGGGTCACTGAACCGTTAAGAACAGAAGTTGGGTCTGCCGTCAACGGTGGCTTTCGTATGGTGTTGCATCATACAACGTATCCGCACGAAACTGGTCACTTATCAGCTATGGGGGCTTCGCCTTACAGAAATCATAAGCGACAAGAACATGAAGCTGAAGATTCAGAAGAAAACATTTATGTCGAGTACGTTTATGATGACGAAAATAAGGACATGGAAAAGGATCTTGGCCAAAAATATCAGGATGATATGGTTGGAATGACTTATCAGGCGTATACCGAAGAAGATTTGTATTATCAAGGAGTGTGGGGAGCGCAGTATGGTGAAGGAGATACAAGATCAGAATGCGGCTATTTCACACAGTCTGAAGGTGATTACTGGTTCTTCCATGCTGGCGAAGCACAGTCTTACATGAAAATGTTTTGTTAATCGTAATATATGCAAAAAGTAAGAACTTCATTTCGGGGTTTAAACTTGAATTGAATAGAATAAATGAGTATAAAATTAAATGAAAAGAAGATGAAATTAAATAATATGATATAAAATAGTACTGGAGATTGTTGTGATGCGATATGTTACACATGTTTGCTAATTGAACCTGTGCCTCTAGTGAGAGCACTTAGAATTCAGTATGTCGCCCTTCTATGGAATAGGGACACGGTGAGATAGTAACTTATTAGTATATAATTTAGTTCATAGTAAGTTCAATATCAAATAATGTAAGTTGCGGTATACAGCAGATTAGGTAACACTAGCACAAAGATATCCCGAGAGGGACTCAATATGATTAATGGACTTAACACGTCACATATACTACTGTATAAGGAATAAGTACAAGTGCCCATTTACACACAGATGATGAGTATGGAGATCTACACCTAGGACTAAAGGAGACACAGAAAATGGAAAACGTATTAACAGACTTGAAACAGGAGTTTCGCCTGAAGATGAAGCTCAACAATCGAATGAGACATTTATGCCATAATAGCAAATTCCTCAAGGGAGGAGTCAACCAAGTCCACGAGGTGTAATATTAAAGGGAAAACTGTACGCGCACCTGTAGAGTATAGCTACTCACCAACGTGAGATACCTCGGCAGGTTTGAGTACTTCCGAACCAGCAGGCGGACGGGAAAAAGTCACACTTGTATGCACATATGAAATTCAATTTGGAATATAATCATGGTACCATAGATTGAGTCTATATAGTGGTTTTTTATTCTCCAAGCTTTCCTCAATACTCATCTCGGCAAGACTACTCGTCAAAGAGGACTTGTTCACTAACCGAATCCCAGTGGAACATTCTTAGACATCATCAGTAAGACTGCCGTACAAATGATACTACTTACGAATGGAATGTTAATTTATTGTCTCTTGTAAATAAAATTGATTAGACTTTCAAAGTAAAAAAAAATAGCAAGAAGACTTTCTAATGCTGGCTGCTCGTATGCCAACCACTTATATCACTTTGGTATATCTATACCTTAAATAGTAAATATGTTTAATATAACAGTGAGGCATGTTGGAGGGGTATTTTTTGTATTGGATACGATAGCATTTTTGTATATTATGTCTCAAGCCAATGTATACGATGGGATCAAAGAATACTGGTTCGTTCTCTTTATTTCTATTTGCAATTTTATGTTCGCTGGTGCCTACGGAAGTGAATTTATCTGAAGACTTAGATACTGCTACTCAAGGTTATGACGGTAAAAGAATGTTGGGTCCTCATCTAGTTTCACTAACAATCGATTTTAAAAGGACGATCAAATAAAACTTTACTTTCGCTTTGGTCCATTTCCATCTTGCTTTGTCTGGACATTGGTCTTTTTATTTATTAATAATGAGGACGATCTATATATATATATTTGTAAAGACGATACATAGTTAAACTGCGTCCATCAATACTTTTATGGTGTGGGAATTTATTGCTGCGTTGAATCGGTTGGAAGCGTTCCTTGACTAGTGTCGTAAAATGTCTTGGTGATTTGCGTGTCCAGGAATTTTCTCGGTTACACCGAATCATCGGAGTCTCTTGGGTACGTAGTCAATTGCGGTTTGAAAAACTCGTAAAGGGCTTGAAGAGCTTGTGCGTTCCTGAGCATTGGACCTAATTCGAACCGAACGTTGATCTTGGTTATCTTTCTTCGTAAGGTCATTCTTGTCATCATGTGTCTTCTACATATAAATACTCTGTCCGAGATGTTATCATCTACGCCGCACGTCCTGCATTTAGGTGAATCGATCAGTTTGAATCGGTAGCGATATGACTTTGTCGTAGGGAAGTGACCTGTACGTAGCTGGGTTGCTAGGCACCGTGTCGCTCTGGGTAGTTCGTTGAGGATCTTAGCAGTTTTTGCAGCTGTCAGCTTTCCGGCTGATATTTTTGAGGTATTGGACTTGAGGACTGACAATTTCGAAGCTTCGATTTTCAGTGGAGCTGTGTAGCGTTCTCGCATTCTGCGTCGCATTGCTGAGTATGAAGTCCTAAGTGTGAAGTCAATGTTGGTGTAATGATTACATTTTGCCCTTCCCTCGTTGGCTGTTCTGTCAGCTAGTTCGTTACCATAGATGCCCACATGTCCTGGAATCCAGTTCAGTTGGACTATGGTTCCTTCTCTTCCTTTCATTCTTTTGATCCTTTTGATTTTGTCAAGCACTTGTTTTATCAAGTATTGTCCTGTCTTTGTCGTTTGTAACTGAACGATCGCAGCCAGGACCGCTTGACTATCACTATGAATGAAGACGGTATGTGGTGTCGGGACGTGTGGGGGTATCAACTCACGTTCTACTTGCATTAATGCTAGATAGATTCCTACTAACTCGGCTTCGTATGTTGTAAACAGGCTGTCAGTGCCTAGTCTGTAAGAATTTCTAACCCACTCTCTGTTGTGTGGTAACTTGGCCACACAGGCTGCTGCTACTTGTCCCTCAGCCAATGACCCATCTGTATAGAAGTGCCATGACGTATGGTATTGTCTACACAATTCTGTGTGCTGTGCTTTTGCTTGGTCTTTATCCTCTGCTCGTGAAAAGCTTAGTGTTGCAGGTACCCAGGGTACGAAAGGGTGGGCTACTATAGTTTCCATCTCCTTTAAACCCTCAAGCATTGGTGTGTTGCGCGCCATTGTATTCAAGGGAGAAGTGAACTTCTTCCTTGGTTTACGCAAAATACTTGTTACGATGTTACGCGCGGGGTGATCGCCAGCTCTCGTGAGCGTTCTCAACATGTAAGTCTCGGCTTTCATGTGTAACCTCTCGGTTGGTGTCAGCACCGCGGTGTCGAAGTGGAGCATGTGAATAGGAGTGGTGCGTACAGCACCTAGAGCCTTTCTGAGCATTCTGTTCTGTAGCAATTCTAGCGTGCGGATAGCTCGGCCGTGTTTGTAAGGATTAATCCAAACGTGGCCCCCGTAATCAGTTGCAGCACAGACATGAGTTTTGTATAACATTAAGAACTGTCTAGTAGGCATGCCCCCTCGTGTGTTCGCAAGTCTGCCGATGGCTGCCCCGGCGCCATAACCCCTCTTTGTCATTAAAGCTGTCTGCTGCTTATATGATAACCTGCTGTCCAGCATCAAGCCAAGATACTTCATGGCTCGAGTTGGTGCAATTTCCCTCTCTCCCCAATGGAGTGGACTGGTGTCTATCTTCAGAGGCTGTTTCGTGAATAGCACGTATTGTGTCTTAGCAATATCTAGGGGTGTCCCGTGTGTGGATGCCCAATCGTCGGCTTCGTGTAGTTGGCTTTCCAATAGGGATCTAGCTTCCTTCGGTGTACTGGCTGCTACCATCCATAATACATCGTCTGCGTAACCCACTTTGATAACCTCTCGGCTGGCTTTCAGTAACGCGGTATTATATATCAAATATAATGGTCCGCTTATTGGGCACCCCTGTGGGGAGCCTTTGCTAAGTGCGAAAGTCGAGGAAGTATAGTTGGGAGAATTTGAAGCGTATTTTCCTGTCCTTCAAAAAGCATCCTATCTATCTCGTGAGGTACTTCGGTAGTCCGACCTTCCTGCATTCCTCAAGGAGCTTCTCATGTATGACGTTGTTGAAAGCTCCTTGTGCGTCTAGGGCGAGCGCCGTGACTACCTTCTTTTGCTTCCACGCGTTTTGAATGAATTCAGTGACATATAGTAAAGCATCGTCTGTACCGGAGCCCTTCCTACACCCAAAGTGCGTACTCGGGATTAACTTTCTGGTATCTAATTCATATTGTAATCTCTTTGTCATGACAGTTTCAATCAACTTCGAAAGATGGTTGAGTAGTGAGATTGGGCGATAACTACTCGCTTCTCGGTATGACTTCTTATTCGGCTTTGGAATCACGATACTTGTCGCTTCTTTGAAGCATTTTGGGTAATGTCCAAGGTGCAAGGAGCTATTCGCTATCTTTATCAAAATGGGTTCTATTATCGGCGTGAATTCTTTTATGGCGGAGACCGGGATGTTATCTGGTCCTGCCGCTTTCCCAACTTTCATATTGTTTATAGCCACTGTCATTTCCCAATTTGTGATCTCCTGGAAAGACCCGTTAAGTGTACCGTCGGATCGCGTTCCCAGTGCCGGGGTGACATTGGTGTCTTCACCTTGTAGTAGGTGTTTGAAGAGTGTCTGAGCCTGCTCCACTGGGCTAGCAGTAAGGGTTTTATCTGTTTTAAGCAAAGGGGGCACAAATGGCGACGGGATGCCACCGTTTTTCACGTATCCGGCTGCTTTATGGACTTCATTTGGTTTGATATTTTCTAGGAAGTTTTTCCAACATTTGGCCTTAGCCGCCCTTATTGCTCGTTTGTATACCCCTCGCGCTATTCGTGCAGCTAGGATGTCCTTTGGTAGGTGGGTCCTTAGTTTGGTTCGCCATTTTTCCTTCAATGCGTCTCGTAGGTTTGAAAGCTCATCGGTCCACCAACGTTTGGAATGTTGGGTTAGTCGAAGCTGTGGTGCACAGGCATCTAGGGCGGTCGTGATGCCTTCTGTCAGGTGTGATGCTAGTTGATCAAGTTCGTCTGGAGAGCGTATCTCCTCATTCTCTAGTTCCTGCGTGAGTCGTAACAGCTTCTTCCTTCCCACATCCCAGTTGGCTTTCTTTAGATTCCAACGTTTTCTATTCTCAGCATCGGCATATTCAACTTTCATGAATAAGTGCAACGGACGGTGGTCTGATGTTGTATCGATCTCATCATCGACAGAACAAAAAGCGCTGTCGTAGTGTTCCACCTTACTGCTTAACCAATAGAGGTCAATAGTAGTGGCGGAGTTGTACCCGTATCTGGTGGGTATTCCTTTTGCGCTCACCATAGAGTAGTTATTTTGGAGTAGTTGGATAACTAACTCTTCTGTCTCTAACTCTGTCGTGCCTTCATAGCCTGCTGGGTTCCAGGCTGGATGGTGAGCGTTGAAATCGCCAAGGAGATGTGTCGGTTGGTTGGCAAATCGTTGGACCAAATCCCTGACTAATACTAGGGTTTGGGAGTCATGTTTGTTGTAGACGTTTATGAAGTTAACTGGTTGCGAGCCAGCGTTAAACGTGACTCTTA